CCAGCGCGCCTTCCTCGGGGGCGGGCGGTGGTCCCTGCGCCGGCTGGTGGGGTGGCTTTCGAGCAAGCGGCTGCTGCTTGTTGCCGTGAAGGCATCCCCACGCCAGCCCCGTCTCATGCATCCCCTCCTCTCCCTCCTTGGATGCACGGTGGGCAGAAAGGGGGAAGAGTTTGCTAGGGGCAGAGGGGAGAAGCGCTTGCTGCAGCGTTATGGGCAGGGAGACGTGTGGTGAGCGAGCATCGTGCCTCCTCCGAGCCCGCTTCGGCTCTGCTGCGGTCCGTGGCAGGACTGTGCTGTCTCCGGAGGGGTTTCACACACCGTCTTTGGTTTTTTCGTGGTGCATCGGCAGGGGAGTGCTGGGTACAGCATCTCCCCAGCTCTCCTTAGCAGCTCCTGTAACACAGCCCATGCCTTCGACTTTACCTGGATGGTGGAGTTTTTCCTGGTTGACATCATTATGAACCAGAGCAGAGGCTGTCCCCACCGATCACAGTGTGGTTACTCAGCTTTTAACATTAGCACTTAGTCCATGACATTTTTGTTTTAGTGTCAATTTGGTTAATTTGGCTGAGGTGGTCCTCTTCTGAGGTGTCCGAGGTCTCTGGCTGGGTGCGTGCTGCGCCCGGGGCGGTCTGGGGACCCCCGTGCCAGCGCGTCGCGGCGCCCGGGGGTGCAGATCCCTGGGGAGGGGGTGCTGGGACCAGTGGGTGCCCAGGCAGCGGTGGAGGGCTCTGTCCTGGGTCCTCCACGGCCCCGCCGCACCAAGCAAGATCTGCGGCGTCCTGGGGAGCGCGTAGGCGTCCGTCACCCCAGCGTCCCGAAAGGCGGGGGCTGGAGGCGCAGACGTGGTCCTGGGCCCGCCCGAACTTTGGTCTTCCGAGGGGATAATGTGCAGAAAGGCGTTTTTGTATTGATGCAGGTGTTCTGAACTGAAAAAAATGAGTGCCTGATGCCCCCTGCGCTTGTGTGCTTGGTGCTGTGTTTCTTCTCACCTCCACACAGGATCATACGGACGAAGGTGCAGCAGCCGCCCAATCAGCAGGTCCCAGCCTCCAGTCACAGCATAGGTAAGGAAAACTTTTTTTTTTTAACTAT